TTTTTTTTTTTAAAAAAAAAATTTTAAAATAACATATCAAACATAATCCCCCATTGCATAACTAATGGAGATACTTAGATTATAAAGAACTCTCATTAGAGTTGATGGCTACTCCTTCATATGTTGCTGCTATTTTTCAGGATCTTGTTACTGGTAGTGCACATTGTGCCCTAGCAGGTTATTGGTCAAAAAAGCTGGGGAAATGTGATTTCGTTGCATATCAGGTACTCTCTCTCTCTCTCGCGTGCGCTCGTGCAGTTGTGCCATTTGTGTTCTTTCTTCATTCATTAATTGTATTGTATTGTATTGTTTATTTGGCATAGGAATCAGCTCGAGGTGGCATACTGAACCTCCATTTAGATGAAAAGATTCAGAGAGTACTACTTCGGGGGAAAGCCGTCACTGTAATGGAAGGTTCTCTCTTGGTTTAACTAGTAATTGCCCCCATCTTGGCTTGCATGAATCAATTGAAATAGAAGGCTGTTAATGTTTGGATGGCTCACTTTGAATTTTGACTGACGCTTTTGCCGTCAAACTTAATTTTACTCCTTGTAAGTTTTGTACTAGAGGTCTTCTGTAAAATTACATTTGGCACTATTATTCGACATAAATTTATATCTTTGCTATCTATAATGGAAATTCTCTTTCTTGGTCACTTTGACTATTAGAACAAAACCTATGTAACTGATGCAAAATTCTAATTTAAGATCTTGAAAACAATTCTTGAAATCACATAAGAAGGGATTTTTTTTTCTCTCTCTTTCTTTTAATTAGTTTAATTGTATTTTCTTCAACTCACTCGTCATAATTGACGTGGAAATAGGAAATATTCAGTGGGATATAATCTTCATTTGAAATAGTAGTCAAGTTGATCCAAGAAAGAGGCTAACGTTAACCTTTCCTTGTAAAGTTGTAACTTTGGTTAAAGACTCGAGATTTCCTCTTCAAAGATGCAATAGCTCCATATCTCATATTCACAAAGAAGAAAATTAGTATGTAGATGCCATTACCAATACTGAAACTAACCCTCCCTGTTTGTGTGTGTGTGGGTTTTTTTTTTTGGATACATCGGAACTTGTGTTTTGTTTGTTATTCCTTTCACAAAAAAACATTGCTAAACAAAATTGTTGGCAAGAGACCTAATAAGCGAAACCTACCAAATCAAATTTGTACTAATTTAGCGCTTATTTTGTCATCTAGACAACTAAATACGAAAGTTAGCAATATCAGATTCTAATACTATCAAATTAGTGTAGTATTTGATGTGTCACTATAATCAATGATAACATATCACATAATAATATCCGGCATTTTATATTCATATTTAATCACTATTGTATTTATTACTTAGTATCACTTTAAAAGTCATCAAGACTCTATAATTTATTCTCTCTGTTTCAAATTATTTGTCAATTTTCACTATTAATACATTCAAAAAATCATTTATATTTTATAATTATTCTATTTTCAACAATTTTAAAAACTTCATCTACAAGAATTAATCAGCTTGTTTAGATCGTTTTCAAAGAAAACAATTTTAAAAAAAAATTCGAACCAAATATACAATCAAAAGTAATTTTAAAACACTAGTTGAATATTTTTTTAATATTTTAAATAAAAAAATATTTTCGAATTTTATTTAATTTTAAAAAAAATATTTTTTGAATTAAATTTTAAAAATAGTTTGGTTATGAGTTTTGAATAGAACATTTCTAAACTCATAACCAAACAACTTTTTTTATTTCAAAACTCTTTTTAAAACTCATAACAAAACAAATTTTCTTTTTTCAAATCATAATTCAAAAACTCAAAAATTCAAAATAAAACTTCACATTCAAATCATAATTCTAAAACTCAACTACACGTTACCCTGATTTTTTTGGTTGTGTCATTTGGTATGAACACATCTCTGACAATTTCACTCATTAATTGCTATTTATTTGTTTATTTTTTCAATTGCCATTTATTAGCATGTTATTAGTTAATTTTGAACAAATATAAAAACTTTAAAAAAAAAAAGAAAAAAAGGTGACTTTTAGAACTAGACCCTAAGAAGCCAAGCCCTCATATATCATCTTTAGGTGGTGCTATATAACAGAGCTACTTAACTATGTAGCGGTAAGCCATACCCTCACCCACAAGGCAGAGATACAAACTCATACTCCTAACACTAAGTACGATTCACCCAAATTTGGAAGGTTTATCCTACCAACCATATACGCTTTCGTTTCGATGGTTGGCCTTGGAGAGAGTTGAATCTGGGACCTCATGGTTTATACCTCAAGGTTTTGCCAAGTTGCCACACACTCTAAGGTTAAATATCAAAACTTAATTTATAGAGAAAAGATTTTATTGGAGTTATATAACATGTTATATTTTTTGGCAAATATAATAACTTAGGATAAGTTGGAACTTATAATAGTTTTAAAAAGTCAAAAAATTATCCTCGCCTGCTACCATGAGGTTGGGTTCTTGATCTATTTGCCGGAATAGATGATCACGGACAACAATAAACTCATCAAATTGAAAGAATTTGGAGGATCTATTGAAATTTCTTTATGCTTTTGGGTTCTGTTACTATTCAAAAAGTTCATTGCTCTTGGGTTTCAGGTTTTGAATAGTACATCAAATAATAAGGAGAGAAAGTGAGTTTATTGACCTTTTGAGCTTAGGGTCGTGCATTTCAGTACATATGCTTATGAAATTTATGAAAATTTTAAATTGTGTTTCATACCAGAGAAATTTTTTTGAATTTTTTCTGTGTAGTTTTGATTTTTTTTTTGAATTTTTCTTCACATAAATTTTTTTCTAAAATTTCACTAGACCTAAGTCAATGAAATTTCACTGATGTGTATCTCATCTCTTTCTTTCTTTCAACTCTCTTTCTATCCCTCAATATGCCTTTCTTCCGCTCTCTAACCTCAGTGAAATTTAGGATTTCTTTGACTTAATCAGAAATTTTCACTAAAGTCAGTGAAAATTTCACTAACCTATATTAATGATAGTGAAATTTAACTAACTTAGTCAAGAAAATTTCATTGGACCAAAGTTAGTGAAATTTCACTAAGGTCAAGAAAATTTCATTGAAAACAAATTTCACTGAAATTACTATAAAACAATAAAACTTCTCTGATTAAAAGTTAGAGAAATTTCACTGACTAAAAATAGCCAATTCAGTGAAATTTTATCAATTTTTTTCCTCGAAATTTCATATTCATCGTTAATATTGTTTGATAGATCTCGATGAAAGCATTTCAAAAATATAATTTTTGTTTCAAATGATTATCTATATTAAAAATTATTGAATTTTTAAATCTTTAAAAAATTTAAAAAGTGAAAAATGTTAGTACTGAATATAAAACGCAAGGGTATTTTGGTCTAATTGTTTTGGACGTAAAAGGTGCGTTTTTACGAGGGATCTCCTAAAATTGTAATATTAGGAACTTTAAAAAAAAAAAAAAACTCTTTTTATATTTTGGTTTGTTTTGATTTTTTTAAATAATAATTTCCCCTTAAAATTCTACGCCATTATTTTTTATATAAAAAAATGCAACATCCATACGATAATTCCAAAAACAGTGTGGACTTTGATATTTTAGGACAGTACCACCTTGTACAGAATCAGATTAATAATTCCAAAAACAGTGTGGACTTTGATATTTTAGGACAGTGCCACCTTATACAGAATCAGATTAATTGACTCCGCCAACTAATTTAAATAAAGTGGCTGTTTGAGAAATTATTATTTTAGTAGATTATTTTAATTTTTTGTTATTTTAATAGGTTAAAATTTTTGTATTTGAAAAGATAATTTTAAAATATTTTTTTATAAGAGAAAAAATAAAATATTTATGAATTTAATGTGATATTTTACCTTATTGATTATTTCAACATATTTTATCCTTCTTTTTTTTTCTTTTTTTTTTGGGGGGTAGATTTTAGTCCAAAAAACAAAAACAAAAAAAAGCCTTTGCCATACCCATTAAGTTTGTTGCTCCGTTGCTTTGGTCTATTTTAAAAGTAGGTCGAAAGTTAAGTTTTAATTTTTTTTTATAAATGTGTAAAAAAATATAAATGATATAGCCTAAAAAAAGTTAAAAAATTAAAAAGTTGACTTTTCATTTTAGATTTGAATTTTTTTTCTGTACTTTTTTTTTTATATTTATAGTTTTCTTTGTTTTCTTTAAAATTTTATTTTTAAAAATTAATAAATAAATCATTTTTTATTTCAAACAATTTCATGCTTTTTATAAATGTTAAATTTTGGGTCCCTCTGTTGTGCGGCCCCGGAAATCGTCATTTTTCGCCCTTTTTCGAGCCATGTGGGGGCCCCTTTCCTTCCTAGTGTTCGACAAAATATCTTTTTGTGACAATGTGAATATTTCACATTGACATGTTAAAATATCACCATTAAATTGTAGTGTTAATATATCTCTCTCTGTCCCGTGGTCGCATCGATTTAACTCCCGTTCTCCCAGCTGTGGCCCTTTATTATGCGGGCCCCGGGCGGGACCGTGTGTATTTAGTGCTCCTCTTTTGTACTTTTTAGTTGACATTCTTCGAATTTTATTCACATTGATTTTCCATCCCTGTTTAACATGTCACACTTGATAAATGTGTGCGAGTATACTATATTTTGTAAGCTTGCGCCCTTTACTGGAGCAACCAAAAGCTTCTCCGCCTTTACGTCCAGGTGCCACGGCGCGGCGAGGCCCCGGCCCCGGCCGTTCGTTGACAATTGAATATCACTATTGACATGTTTAACATTCACAAATTTTTACGTATAAGTCTAGAGATGATAAAATTTTAGCTTTCCGCGCCGTTTCGTCGTTCCCGTAGCTTCCGAATATTCCCGCCCACGTTGGCTCTCTTTTTTCTGGTTGGGGCTCGTGAGCTCTCGCGCTCCCGTGTTTTTCCTGTTTTGACATGTTTGTAAATGTTTTCACATTTATGTACATGTGTTAACGATTCACATGATTTAAGTAGTGTATAAAACTATTCCGACTCTAGCATTTTTAGCATACCGCGGCGCCACGAACTCGAGCTCTGTTTCTTTCCTTTGCTGTCCCTTCTCCTTGATTTGTTGATGTGAATATTCACATTGTACTATTTTAGTTAACCATTCACAATTAATTTAAGGAGTGTAAAGATTGGCCCGCATGATCCTTTTTTTTTTATTTTATGGCTTTTTTTTTTTCTCAGTTTTTGCCGCTCAATCCTCATAATTTTTTTGTTATCCGCGACCCCGTGAAACCTTGCCCTTCTAAGACCGCGCCCTATCGGGCGGCCCTGCGGAGGGCCCGGTCCGGTCTCTCTTTTTCGATGACCCAACTGTTAATATTTTCACATTTCATTGTTTAACATTCACATTGCATAAGAGTATTTACAAGATATATAACACCGCTGCACCTGGACATTCACGATTTACGTTACATTTCATTTTCTCTTATTCTTTATTGGACGGCCCAAAATAAGACTCCTGCTTTCGCGGCTTTGAGGCGTTCTGTATAGGTGTGTCTCCGGCCCTTCCTTATTTAAGTTGACGTAATGTGAATTTTCACTTATTTGAATTGTTTAATTTTTATGCATTCTTCACATTAGATAAAAGAAGTTTTGTGTATGATATATTGAAACGCCCGCAGGCCCGAGCGGGCTTGGCATATAAATTCTTCCGACACACCGTTCGACCAATGATGAATTAT